CGAGCTTCTCCTCCGATTTGTGGCGTGCGCCTTGATGTTGTCACACAAAGCGGAGGGACCCACAGTTTTACACCGACTCCGAACGGCGATTGTATTTTTATGAGAAGCTATTTTTCATGGCAGAAATACACTCGGAGGTTTGCCATTGCCTGCCGAGGGACGACCGCTGTTAATAAAAAACCTTTTTCTATATTTTTTTGCGATGTTGCTTTGACCAAGGCTTGAACCCAGGCGTTGCGGAGTGGAAGCGCGCACTGCTAACACTACACCACAGCGGCCGTCTCTACAGAAAGACCCATTTAATTAAAACCGTACGTTAACTTGCAGTGTGCTGTCAGGTTGCCAGTAAGAGTTCTAAGTTCAAGGTGTCTTTCGGAGTTCCTGCTGGAAAGAGATATGCATATCTTTGATTGCCTTATTCCCTTGGCTTCCGCCAGTAGGCAACAATTTGAGATTGTTCCCAACTAGCTCCTAAGTAGGTCTGCAGTGTATCCTTTAGATGTGCACAGAAAGTCTAGGGACCATGGAAACGCATTTGGGCTTCACGCTTTGCGAGAAAGTCAGCCCTTTCGTTGCCTTCAAACCCTTCATGCGTGACGCTATTGTGGGCTCGCAGGTGGTTCAAGAGTTTACAAGCCTTGATGCCTTTTTAAAAGACTAAGGCCTTTAACGCTGCCTTAATGTCCGACATAATATTTATTCTGGCCTCATTTGCCTTCTACGATGCCATTCGCGAACACAGACTTCGATTGGGAAGACTTCCGCCTGAAATATGGTTGAGTACGAGCCCATTGGCAGACTTTTCTGGAATCTTGGTCCAAGTACGCCATAAATTATATCGCTACCTATAGGTGAAAAGGTGCCAAGTCCATTTTTTTCAAAGTTTAGTTTTTGATGCAGAATGACAGGTAATACGAAACTACATCGATTTTTCGTCTCTCGTGAAAAATTTCTAAAAAAGGTGCCACCTTTTCACCCTTAGGTCACGATATATGGATGTCCGTATTGCATATTGGCAATAATAAGGTATACGTTTGTTCTTAGGAATCAGTTATATTTACATGTTTGTGGCCGCCATTATACGAACGCACCGTTGAAATATTTGTGCTAAAAAGGTTGCTAAAATATTTGGAGATACGTACATATTTTCTATTTTTCGCAAATAACTATTACTCATTGTCCCGAAACCTATCAAAATCCAATCAAGCCTACCAACCTACCAAATGGAAAAAAAACCTACCAGTTTTGGTAGGAAAAGCCCATGTTTGGCAACACTGCACGGGAGTCTCCGGGAGCTACTCGGCTTTTACATACAAGTCGTGTGTGCGCAGCTACCGAACTTATGCGCCGCTAGCAGCCGGTCAGTTTGCGTTTGTACTAGAGCTGTCAAAATATCGATAGTCAAGTCCATCGATGTTTTACGATAGTCTTAAGGGTGACTATCGATAGTATCGACCCGTTTCATATGTTTTTCTAAATTCATTTATTTTTCGTTATATTGCTTTTATAAATTTGTTTGTTTTAACGGCTCACGGTTGCATTTTAGTATCGAGAAATATTGCTAGAAATTCATTCGCCGTGTAAAAAGTCTAAAAGCGATTTCAGAAATTTTCCCTGCAATTCGCCTTTCGGAAATAAAAAAAATCTCTTGCGACATATAGCCACTTACATGCAAGGTGCCACTGCTCGTGAAACTGCTTTCTGAAATTTCTCAATTTGACAGTCTCTTGAAATATATTGCATTGCCACGTCTGACACGCTCTTAAGACGGCAATAGTTGCGTTCGATAACAAAATTAGCCAATACCAGCCAACAACCAAAATCAAGAGAGTAAGCTAAAATTCTCTCCCAAAGAGATGAAAAAGCAAAAAAGTAAACGAACAGAAAATTAGCCATTACTTGCAAAAACCGGAAGAAGAAGACACACCAGCTGACTTGTTTATGTTTTATTTGTAAACAAACTGAAATTCATGTTGCCTCCATAGAAGAAAAGTGAACGTTCAATGTTCGCCAGGAACATTTCTAGAAGTAAAAACTAGTTGGCGCTATCATAAAGTCACATAGCAGGCAGCCAAAAAGCATATAAATACCAAAACTCGGAAAATGCAATTTTGTTTGTTTACAGAAATTGCAACCATATGTTTTGTGATCATATGTTTTCGTGTTGGATAATTTTTGCTGACTAAAATTTTGCCAGTACAAAATGAACGCTTCTCTTGCATCAAAATGAACGCTTGCTCTCTCAATTTTTGTGTGTTGGATAATTTTTGACGTTATCGAACGCCATCCAGTAAAAATTTGGAAAACTATTACAAATTTTTGACTTGTCGAACGCACCTAATGTAATTTCTGGTATTTCCACCCAGCACGGCAACCATGTATTTGTAATTTCATTTGAGAAAAAAAAATTATAGTTGATAACGTAATTTTTTAGTCGGTTGTTTCATTCACACACATGGTTTCATTCCGTTTCATTCACATGGCGGCGAAAAAATGACGTCCCTGCAAAAAAATACTTTTTTCTCGCACTCCGTCCTGGATGATCTTTATGGCCTCGTCAGAATGGGTACTTTGCGTACGTTCCGCTCAAGGATGAAACTGACAGTTGAGTAGACTGTATGTGTTTGCATAGAGAGCGTCAGATTGGTAACCCTTGCGTCGACGGAGCCAACGAACGTTGGCCAACACTCAACCTTTGACGCACGTAAGTCCATCACTGCTGACAGTTGTATAACCCTGCGTTTACACAAGGCAAGACAATTGAGAATATGTATTAACTGTCACATTTTTTCAGTAGAGTAGACGTCCAGACAATAAACTGTCTCCGAAAAGTCAAAGATAGTGACGAAGACATCAAGAGAAGTGTGAATATATTAGTAAAAAAAGTGTGACTATTTGCTATTGTTACTGCAAAATTGACTTGTGTAAACCCCCATAAGGAACAGCTGATTTTTGTTTGCAGACGCAAAACCCTCATTGTGGCGTATCTCTACGTTACGTACGCCACTTCCTTCGCATACTTTTCCATTATTGACGGACAAGTACCCATTCTGACGGGCCTATTATTCGTACGTTCATGAAATAATGCTGCCAAGTTTTGTTCTCTTTGAACCAATACGTGCAAATGTCAAAAGTGCTAGGAAAGAGAATACGCTATAAATGAAACGATAGTGGCGATAGTACCAGAACTATCTATAGTGACCTGTGACCAGACTATCGATACTATCGATAGTATCGTCGATAGTTTGACAGCTCTAGTTTGTACTTCATGCTGTAAGCATCACATGCGCGAGCTGTTTTGCTGAGTACATACATACAGATACAAAAATATTGCGCTTGTGTTGGGAGCTCTGCCAACGCTGTGCACCACTGATTTAGAGGATGCTCCCCTGTGGGGAAAATCTCTAGTTCTGAACTGGGGCGCTTCTAGTACATTTAAGGTATTGGCCCAATGCACGCTTGCTTTGCTTGCTTGGCTTTGAGAACTGTCAAACAATTTTTAAAATCTACTAAAATGTATGAAAGTTGGCCTAGTGGCAGCTTTACTTCACTTGCTTGAAGCGCTTTAAAGTATCGATTAGCCGAAATCTCTATTTGACAGCGCGTTGTAGGCTTTTGACAACTCTTGACATTTCAATTTTTCGCGTCGATTTTGCTTGTGTGCAGTTTTTATCGCGTTCTTCATCAATTTTAGGTAAAATAATTTATATTAAACAATTATTTGTTGCTAACAACATTATTTTTTCAGATACCTTGCTTTTTATCGTTCCGGCCACCAGATTCGTT